GTTTGCAAGGAACCCCAACTATTGAAGGGCTACAAATCACCGGTCTAGATGACATGCCTCCGGCTCTTTTTAAAGATGGTGGTGACTTTCTGACTGAGGAACTGACGACGTTGTTTACAAAGGTTTGGGAGCTCGAGAGTGTGAGTTTTTAGTCAAATTACGCACGCAGCTGTTAAATCACTCATGCTTTGGAGATGCAACGGAAGTGGATGGATTGATCTCTCAACTGCACACAGAGCTGGAAAATGATTGCAGCCCCAATGAATCCCCGATAAACCGTATTTCAAACTGTACAACAGTCACTCAGGATTCGCCCAGTGGTCCAGTCCTCTCCATTCCAGGAACATGCCCGGTAATGGACTCAAACTCCATTATCCCCAAAACAGCATGTGCAGACGGTGACTTATCCAGCTCACAAACACATTCCCTGGTAAATGCTCATAGAATTGTCGCAATAACCACCCATGAAACAGAAAACAAATCGAGCAGTACACTGAATACAACTGCTTCAAATGGTTCTCATCAGTCTGCGACAGATGTTTTTGATAAATCTTATTATCAAGATTCTCTTTTACCAGAAAATATGTCAGATGCATCAAATGATGATCAAAAACTTAATACAATTTTGATAGATGCTAATTACCTTGATGATTCATTATCTACAAATAAGATTCCAAATAAATTTGGTCACAATATTTCAGAAGAATTAAACTTAGAACACCTCATATCAAGTGTCGTTTAGCCTCAGGACTTAGTCACTTTCAGTCAATTCTCTGTTCAGTGCGATAAATATGTCTTAAATAAATTCAAGTTAATTATAACGTGGACATATGAGGATCCAACACTGTTTCGTGGGGGAGGATGGACCTGGAAAACTTAAAATCCGGATATCAACTCCGGATCTTCTAAAAAGGGGAGGAGTGTTGGGGACGATAGATCCCCAAAACTCAAATTTTGTAATTTACTTATCGATTAAATGTGCAGATAGGTCAATTGATGAACTATCGATTAAACGTACAAATAGGTCAATTGATGAACTATCGATTAAATGTTCAAATAGCAGTCAATTGTTGATTAATGTTCAAAAATCTTCCATGACAATATCGATTGTAAATATTTGTATAAATACGCTTGATTTGTGTGCTTGACTTGACTTGTTATCTGCTGTTTGTCTGTAGAATACACTTTCTACAACTTACCCAGACTTTTTGATCGAGTTAGCAGAGTTGGGGACAACGGACCAGAATAGTCTATCGAGATTCTGAATCCTTGATCCGATCGATAAGTCACTGTCATATAATCGGCGCCCCCTTTGAGGCATAACAATTTGGAATTCGAAATCAAGCATTTAACAAGTACAAAGGAATCATTAAATCATTCAAACACCACACAGAGACACTTGGATTCTGGTGCCAAATTTATCCATCTATATGGTGGAGTGGAATTTCGACATTATAACTTATGTCAGTCGTAGTAAAATGACTTACTCTGATTCCTGATCCCAATCCATCATTCTAATTCCTGATCCTATTTCGAAACTACCAATTGGTCAGAGTTTCTCAAATTTAGTTTAGTATCACTCAGGCACCGTCCGTGCGTACTAGTCGCAACGAGTAATCATACATTCATCAGTGATATTTAATTCGAAGTCATTCATTATGCCCAGTTGAGATTTCGCCAAACATCTTGTTAACTTTTCAGATCCATGCATCACTTCTGCCGTTTCTATAAACCATGGTATATAGTATGTCATGTATGTTTTTACGTTCCGTTCTCCACTCTACTGTATCTAATATCTTTTCGATTCCCGAACGGTTTTCCATTCATAAGGCGTCTACAATGTTCTTCATTTTAGAATTTCAAAGTTCACACTAGTACTAAACGCTGATCAATTTTATATGAAGTTTCTTGCTACATTTCATAGTTGCTGTAGGATTTTGAATTACTGAGACGTCGTTTACTACCACGATGCGTACCGATGACCGTCAGTAATTTGGTTTGTTACAGTTTGTATGTGCACGTGGAATCTAAAAGCTTTTAATGTTGATTATCAATAAATTAGAGCGTGTAGCTTTAACGAGTAAAAGTATTTGATTTAAGAACCGAATGTGACCATGTAATCAATAGATTCATAAATGTTCACCTTTCAAACAGACAGTGAACTGTCATCGTATCCAATGGTTGTTGTAAATGTACTATTGAGTGTAGGTAGTTTTGGTGATTAAATGATTACATGCATTCTCAATACAGCCGTAGCCAATTACTTCATAATTCAATACCAGATATTTTATTTATGATAATCAGAAGTATTCAAATCAACGTACTAATTAATGATTCCCCAAATAGTGCAATTTAAATCATGTAGAACTAGATGAGCACAAATGAACGTATTATATTTTAGTGGCCTGGGATCTGACTCCAATAAGATCGTTTCTCAGTGCTATTGAGATACACATATAGTTAATCCTCGTATAAAATTATCGACTTAGATCGCGTTAGTGAATAATGGAATTAAATAAGTCAAATACGAGAAAGGATTTCCGAACACATATATTTTGTTCAATCATTGATCTGAACAGATACTCAGAGAGACGCAGAGAAGAAGAGAGAGCGAAACGACACGCAGTGGAGAAGGCATGTGAGCCAACACCTTTTATTCAAGCGTTAATCAATAATTATAGTCACATAAAAATAAGCTACACATGTGATGAATAGGATAAGATGTGTACACACACATACGCTGATATGAAAACAGCCAAGGTTGATAAGTGAATAATTGACAAGGTCAAAAAGTGACTCAAGTAGAATGAATAGATTAGCCTGTGCAAAAGCTAGAATAAGGTATATGGGTTTAACATTTCAACCCACACTGCAATATTTTGGCGACTGATCTTCTTTCACTGTCCAGCTATCAAACGGAGGTTTTCAAAAACAAACTAGATACAATAATACCCAGAGACAAAGGTAATTTATGACCAAAAGGCTGGAAAACTGTAAATTGTTAGAACCAAAAGTGCTAACAAATACAATAGAAACAAAGTACTCAGAAGTATCGACGATAAACTACTTTGGAATCAGAAACGATATTCTAAGCGGATACTTTAAGTGAAATAAATTCAATTAAAGTGTAAACAGTGGTCTTGTTACGTAATAAACGATCAAAACAATAGAATTTACTCAGTGAGGAAAAATACCACTAACCTTTCTAAACAGCGCGCGAAGATCACATAAAAATAATTTGTATATTTATCATTTTCTTAAATCGTTTACAGATGGAGGTAACCAATGAGCGTAGAGTGAACTAACGTAGTTTTGAGATTGGGTACAATATAACAATATCCAGGTACAATTTACTGGATTTATGCGCAAACAAAAGCGAACGAATGAGGTTGTTCAATTCCTTTCAAATCCAATCAATAAAAGAGTTCAACTTAAAACAATCTTTTGTGTATATTGTTATGTACCAAACAAACTGTCAGTCATATTAACATAAAATTCGTTTATTTGCCTTTATACTCACGGACACAAATTCTAACATATCTAAATCATGTTGGATTATTGCGCTTTAAATATAACGTGATTGCAGTTCATTACCCCATCATGACTTTATTTGGATGTAAAAGATGATTATTCAAGCTTAAATATCTTGAAATGAAAGGCCTACGAGAATCTAACATTCTCGATATAGAAAAAGGCAGTCAGTAACAGAAAGAAGTATATTTCTGTGTGAGCACAAGACATGAACACGCGTTTTGAGTTTAAGATTGGATAAGTCTAGACAAAGTAATCATCTATTGATCATATATCGAAAATAACTTGATGACTAGACACTTTAATCCAGGTGAACATGAAATTGTACAGATTCCCTGAAGATCCAAATGAATTTCTGTAAATAGCAATGAATGCAATTTAACATGGTAGACTTGAAGAAAGTTGTTTAAACTGATAGTATTGCATAGTTTAGTAAAGTCTACCTTAGATGACTCGACAGAATATGAGGAAGATTGACTTACAGGCTATTTATTGTAAATAAAAATTTAAAACTCATAGAAACCCACGATCTGTATGACTAGTATGGTAAGCGAATAAAAGTTGGGAACCCCAATGAGCGAAAAGCATTCTGCACTATAACCTTTTAAAATCCAGATGATTAAATGCACATTATATCTTCAGTTGACATACCACATTATTCTATAAGGTGAGTTGAAGTAGATTGAGGTTTTAACACTAAAAAGTACCATAGAGTTAAATAAAGATAACCAAAACAACAAACCTAATTAGAATATACATTAAAAAAATTAAAAACGTTGAATTTGATTTGACCATTCTCAAGACACATGAATTCAACTAATAGTGAATCCAAGTGAATAAATCACTGGTTATATGAGGCAAAATTAACCGTAGATAAGTTGTTATTAGGAAAATCCAAGTGACACAACTTCCCATATAAATAAAAAGGGATAAATATCCATACATTCCATACAAATTTCAAACTGACAAAAATTAATAGGCCGTTAGTACGAGTCACAACCAGAAGCAAGATGTGAGTTGTCTCGAAAGTTAATGAGATTGATGTTGATATAGGTTGAAAATCGAAAAACAATCCTGCTTGATTACATAAGCTACCATACAATAAACCCACTTGGGATCTTTGGCCTGGATTTTATAGATCGCGACAACGTATTCGCGTTTATTAATGAGGCCCATTTCTAAATTCGTATTACGCTTCAGTAATTATTGATTCATTACAAATGGGAAGAAGTGGTACTTACGAATAGTCCTAGTGAGAAGTCTACTCAAAGAGCAATGGTAATATTTAGTCGTGAAGTGATACCCTACATACTCATCAACCGTCTTCTATTACTCCACGTCCACGCCCCATTCACAACATTAACAAGCATGAAGTCACGAAGATCCCAATGAAAAATCAATTCCACAGAATCTGAACGCAGGAACAACATGTAAATCAAAACCAAACTATCGTCTTACCAACCGCACACCAGAAAGTAAACGTTCAACAAGTCAACTGAATACGATGATCACGAAATAAATAACATGGGATTGAATGCAATTCAAAAATATTTATTTAGAAAAATCACATCAATATTTTAACATTAAGCAACGATTAGTTTAGTAAAACATATTCTCTTCTAGTGAGTAATTGCATGTTGCTTCTCCAATGGCGCCTCCAATACCAATGTATTGCCAACTACCTGAGCAGAAACAGATAACGGATCAACTGTCTCGGGAATCGCATACGACTGACTGAACTCTGCAAATGAACTTGACTTTCCATATTGACCACTCTTCTGCTTATGATGACGTCCACTAACCACAACACGATTCGAATCAACATTCACACACAAGTCTTCAGGCTTGTACACTGGGTCCACTGGAACCTCAACATGCAATCGCTTGCCACCTGAACCATCATCCACATACGATAGACCATGAACACCTGAAATGGATAGGAAAAAATACAATGTTAGGAAAATGCAACACACACAAACGAGAATAACACACCCACCAGATCAATCACAACTCCTCTCACCTTTTGCAACAAGTGCTTGAGACGCAGGAACTGCCTTAATCTGATTGTCCGATTTCGGTCGAACACCCACCTGACCAGACTCGTTCAGCGTCAACGACTGGTTCTGATCAACCTTCACTGGAGCCTCCAACATCAAAACACCATCCTGAAACGGACAGACAAACAAACGCACAGAACAAGATGAAATGAGACTTCCAACTATTCTAACATGATTCGGAATGCAAACAACTGCAAATACAACACACACAAAACCACCACCACCAACCACAGTCGTCAACTCAACAACTTACATCTGTCATGCGACATTTCAGTTGACCATCATCAATACTCTTCGGCAGCTGCACCATACGACAGAACTCCCGACTACACTTCCCACCATCGGTCGTTGTCTCCTTCTTCGCGTGTACCGTCACACGGTTCTCACTCGACGTCACATTGATGTCCTGAGGGGCGAAACCTTGTGCATCGAATCGTACCTTGAAATGTACCTACGCAATAAACAACAACCATAATAACACTCGTCAATCAACGGCCATGTTCAAAACCAACTGCAAAAAACAATAAACACAACCTACCTGCTCGTCAGCACGAACTCACCTTGCCATCCTCACCTATTTCGTAGGCGTCCTTTAAAAAGTCACTCACTGAACCGGTCGACGGAACATCCATTGAGCCCATTCTCTCTCGGATATCCTGGATATGACGATCCATTTGGTGCATTAAAGCGAATGGATTCTCCCAAATCCCGTGGGTGAAGTTGTCCAACGGCTGAAATTCAAAGAACATACCGAGCTCATCAAATCTCTCCTCGAATTTAATGCGAAATCTGCTCACACAATGCATTATTGCATTCCTAACATACACAAATGATAAAACATTATCTCAGGAAATCATATGCATTAATGGTCACCTGAATACTGAATAGCAAAACTCACTAATAGTGCGAACATTCCACGTCTCAAACGTCGCATGTCTTCATCCCATCTCCTCCAGGAGGAGTTGATCCAGCTGTCCACAGTACTCGGCCAGTCTTCCGTGTACGGTGCGATTAGGTTGCCACGATGAGTACCACCTCCGTGTTCCAGGCCAGTTAACAGGTCACGTCTCTGCCTCTCAAATGACCGTTGCTCACGATTCACAGGAATACTAACTGCTTGATGATGTTGCCCACCAGACATATTTAACACGATAACAGAAATAGAACAACAATATGCGTTGAATGCTCGACTGTTTAACTTACTTATATAGTGGTGGGTGAGAGAAATTATTCAATGACCTCTAAATGGGTAACAACCAATCAGAACGCTAATATTTCTACAATGTAATTAAGTCCAAATCTGATTGGTCATTGAAGGACATTTTCTCGAAAGTTCTAGATTTCTCTCGCCCTGTCTAGTCTACGTTCACATATGTTCGCTCTGTGTCAACACACATTACGCCCTATTTACCAGAACTCTCTAGAAAACACTACCGAATTCTAGTGAAATCCTGGTGCTTCCATACTAATGCTATTCACTACAAGTCACAACTGACCATTAGTGATGTCGTACTTGATAATTTTACTTCGATACACGATCATGGTTACTTGGCAAGGACATCAAAAGCACAGTCGACAGACTGTTTGTGTGTTCGGCTCATTTTCTTATTAGTTGAAAGCAGGTAACTTAGGTCGTTTGGTGAAAACTGAACTACAAACTGTGATTTTCGTGTAAAGCAATCGAAATTTTCAAAATTTCATGATACGTGCTGCATATATTCAGACGCGAATTCATCCCAAACTGTACTTTACTGAGAGTATTTCTGAAATATTCCTTTCACCAGTTTGTTTACTTATCACATAAATAATCTGGAATCCGCAACTTCATTGTTGGGATCAACGTCTTCTCTGATCGATAACGTTTGCTGGTTAAATTTGTGATACTTGATACATTTATTGGTTCTTAAAAAGCTTTCGTGCTTAGATCTATGCCTGTTTTCTAAATCCCTTTGGTTCTATGCACTGATGGGTTTTCAACATTAGTACACTTCTGAACGGGTTCTCAATATAAAGTATTGTTAACCAAAATTATTTGGAAACTTTACTAATTGTTTTGAAGTAATATTGCTGTAATCCATGTCCAACATTGCTTAGAAATTCGAGATTTTTGTTGCCATACTCCCATGTACGTGTTGTACTGCATCCGACTTACATAACTACAGGATAAGCTTGAGGTTGAACAGAAATTATAATTTCAATAAACCAAAGACACTTGATAATAGTGTTCTATAAATTTCAAATATTTGAAGATTGGTAAGTAATTCTACTCCACTAGTTGCTTGAAATATTGATCTGCTCTTACTGTTTCCAATGTAACCGAACCAGACGGTCAGTCAATAAATAATTACAGATTAGAATTTTTCACATCAATTTATAATCAATATATAATTGTGGTATTTGTACTAAATAATGATTCCTTTGCACTCGATTCAGAGCTTATTACGAATTCCAAATATAACACGTTCAGTTGTGTTTATTTAGTTCTATCCACCTTAGGTTGCACTATTTCGGGAATTCTTAGTTATCGAATCAGGTTGGATACTTCTAATTATTATTATGGCGTCGCGATGGAGCCTTTAATTTGGCAGTTGGATATATATTTAAATTCGGAAGCTTTCACTAACAGGCTCTCTTCACTACTATTCCCGTTTTATTCCTAATTTTGCTTGTCTTGCCAATTGTTTATTTAATATTTTGACATCAAATTCATTCAAATTGAGCGAGGAACAAGGTTCATGCTTATGAAGTCTACTAAATTTTCTTCAAAGTGATTCTATGCTTCGAACTTACTCCCCTAGTGTACATTCTATACGTATTACTGACACATCACCTGTGGGTATTGGTACAGTTTTGGAGCAGTGAGGTAGACCAGTTATCTGTGCTCCACTCAAACTTACTGTTACTGAACAACATTATTCACAAATTCAGCGATCAGTTGTGTTTTGCGCTGTTGAAAGACTTTATAAACATTTATTTGGAAAGAGATTCACTATTGTTAGTGATCATGAAGCTTCAAAGTTTATTTATCATCCTGAAAAATCCTTAGCACGTTCCTTAGCTGCTATGGTTCGACGATGGAGTATTGCTCCATGGCCAGTATCATCTGAGGCTTGGCAGAGAATTCATACAGATTATTTTGGTCCACTTCTTGATACATACCATGCACTTGTAGTCATTGATTCTTTTTGAAGTGACCTGAGGCTTTTTCACAACTTCACCAAATTCTGACTTTACAATCCAAGCATTAAGAAAGTTGTTTAGTCGAGAAGGGGTTCCCATGGTTCTAGTGACTGATAATGGCTCTCGTTTTTCTGTGGATGCAATCACTACCTGGTTGAATGATATGGGGTGCAAACATCTGTTTACTGCTCCCAGGCACCCTTGTTCTAATGGTCAGGCAGAAAAGTTTGTCAGAACATTGAAAATTGCTATTGCTTCTATTACTGCTTCAACACTTAATGAACTGGAGAGGGGAGTATATACATTTCTACTGTAATATAGAAATGCTAAACATTCTGTAACGAAAGAGACTCCATCAAAGCTTTTAAAAGTAAGAATTCCTCGTCCAAATATGAAATGTTTGGAGTTTGTAGAAGTTACATATTATTGTTGAAATGATCTTCAACCAGCCACGGGGTTGTGGTTAAGAATATCGGGAAATCTATGGTGCGAATTCTAGATTTCAATGACTTAAATATACACAACCGACATGTTGATCAAATACAATTCCAGGACCCAGGCGAGTCCGTTCCAATTTCTGTTATTAATTCTAATACTAATGAGTACATTCTAGATAGTACAGAGTCTTTGTTCAATACACTATCGGACAGAAATAGGATGAATTTAAGGAGAAGACGTACAATGGATTACAGAAAGTTGGACTCCAATTTAATCTGTGGCGGATGTGGTGTTTGTGTGAACTTATAATTCCTCAGTATTTGATGACTGCTTGATTCCGAGTTCCAAATAAAATATGTTGGTTGGTTCGTGGTCACCTAGTTCTTCTTGGTTAAATTGCGTTATTTCTTGAATTCCTAGTTTTCACTATAATTCAAATACTCCTAATCATCATATGTACACAATCTCGAAACTGCGTTAATTCAGTCTGCGCTCGTAGGTTACCACCATCTTCAAACGATTTAAGAAAAGGATAAATATACAAATTATCTTTATGTAACAGAACCTTGAAAAGATGAAACACACATTCTGGATTCCACTGCTAGCTACCATCCATCTCTAATTATATTTCTATTGATTTATTGGATATAGTAACCTTCTGAATAAATAGATTTTCAAGTATCAAAAAGGGTTCATATAATGACAATTAGATTGATGGAAAAGTGATTTGAAAATACTTTACAGATGGAAATCATGACAATTAATTTTCTACTTGAAGAACTTAGTTAAGGTTCTATTAGTGTGTACTTTTTAATTCTAATCGTGGATGGAATAGATAAGATGTTCGATAATGTAGCTGTCAGTCGACTTACAATTTGCTTTTAATAACCATGCAAGTTGACACTTTGTGATGAGATTAGAAAGAATACGTTATGTATATAGTGATTGGATAACCCATTTGTTATGTTCACATTATTAAAACAGTCATTTAATTGCTTCGATTATGCAACAGTTCATTGTTTATTCACTTGATCAGTTTAACTTATTTTTAACTAGGGTGAGCAATGTTTATAATCAAGTTGGTGTTTTAATAATATTGGCCCTAACGAACCATTATTTATCTGCAGAATAAGTTTTAAATAGTTAGTGTTGAATTTCTATTCACTGACATCGTCGTACAGAAATACTTGTTCCAATATGTGAGACTACTTTATAAAATATCTGCTTTATTCTGTTCAAGTTCATAATAGATCGAATGAGAGACTATTTTCTGAGTAATCGACAGGACCATAGTTCATGAACGAATCAACCAGAGTGTGAAAATTAGGAGTATTTGAATTATAGTACGAACTAAGAATCCCAGAAATAATGCAATTGGATGAAGAAGTACTAGATATTTATTATTATTTATTTTATTTTATTTGAACACATAAATATTGGTACAAGGGGGCACCAAATATATATGCGCCACAAAAAACAATGAGAATTCGGAGAAAAAAAATTAAGGTAAGGAGCGTTAAAGAAAAAAGAGGAACAATAATGACCAGATTAGTGTAAGGTAATGTAATGCTAATACTACTACTAATACTAATACTAATACTAGTACTACTACTAGTAGTATTAAGAATGGGGGAGACGGAAAGGTACAACCAAATGAAATTTTTCAGTTAGGGAAGATACAACCACTTTTTATGAAGAAAGTAAAAGAAGGTTACAGCAGGATCGCCACTGGCTTCTATTCTCAGCCATACCTGATAATGTCTCTAGCCACTGTGTTGCACCATCTCTCGGACCCCAGCCAGGGAGTCGTGAAGGACCAACAGAGGCCAGCCCTTCCCAGCTTTCTTTCATACCATGACACCATGTCATACACTGACCACCTCTCCGCTTCTTGCAATCAGTACCAGAGTCGGCAAATAATGCACGACGTGGAATTCTCTGGGACGACATTCGTAGGACATGTCCAAGCCACCGAAGTCGGTGTTTCAAGATGGTGGCACCAATGGCATTATCGTCTCTGTGACCGATAACACGATGCCGAACCCCTGCATTACTGACATGGTGTTGTCACTGGATGTCAGCAATCCTTCGGAGACAGCGATGATCGAACACAGAGAGTCGTCTAACATCCACAACTCGGAGAGACCAGGTTTCACAAGCATAGAGCAAAACTGCTCTCACCGACGCGTTGTAGATCCGACCTTTTACAGCCAGACTAGCATCACGAAGGCGCCATTAATAATACTAGTACTAATAGTACTAGTATTAGTATTAGTAGTAGTATTAGCATTACATTACCTTACACTAATCTGGTCATTATTGTTCCTCTTTTTTCTTTAACGCTCCTTACCTTAATTTTTTTTCTCCGAATTCTCATTGTTTTTTGTGGCGCATATATATTTGGTGCCCCCTTGTACCAATATTTATGTGTTCAAATAAAATAAAATAAATAATAATAAATATCTAGTACTTCTTCATCCAATTGCATTATTTCTGGGATTCTTAGTTCGTACTATAATTCAAATACTCCTAATTTTCACACTCTGGTTGATTCGTTCATGAACTATGGTCCTGTCGA